CACACACACACACACACACACACACACACATGCATGCACACATAGGCACTTGTCTCAGGGGAAATAAGCCTCAGTGATGCTGTTGTAGCAATAATGAGAAAAAACAATACAAGTGCTAGATACTAAACCTAACTCAAAGGGCATATGAACTCTTGCACAGTATGGAGTCCAGAAGATGAACTTCAAAATTGCCACACCCAGTAGATCAGTGACAGAGAAAAGAAGTATTCAAAAAACCTTAAAAGATGCATGTGCAACTTCAAGTACACATAAAGTTCCCTAACTCAGAAAGATAATGATCTTCTCATACATATTTAACAGCTAGGACCAAATAAGAATATAGTATTCAATCTGCCTGTATGTTTTATTAATACTCTTCTATATCTGTCATATCACTGTTATCTATGCTACATTCTTCACTACAGTAAATGGAACGGATAGATTTTAGAAGATTATCATGGCACATTAAAGCAGACGCTTGAAACTTAAGATACAGTTCTTGTCGAACGTGCAGCACATGTAGCATGATTAGGTTTCACTATCAAGTAATTAACTATTTATTTCATCTGCTTCCATTTATAGATATAGTTTAAATTAACGTTAGAGCTCGTAAACTACTGTCCAACTACCTGTATATCTGATTGTCTTCATCCCCTGACAGGAACACTTTACACCAGAGTGCAAATTCAAGGAGTCAGTGTTCGAGAACTATTATGTGACATACTCCTCCATGATATACCGGCAGCAGCAGTCGGGCAGGGGCTGGTACCTCGGTCTGAACAAGGAAGGAGAAATCATGAAGGGGAATCATGTCAAGAAGAACAAGCCAGCAGCCCACTTTCTTCCCAAACCTCTAAAAGGTAGGCCTTTCCAGAGCTTTTACTTTTTACTTTTCAATACTAAGGTTCAGAATATATCTGTTATATGATAGGAACTAGTTTGTGGAATGTATTATCCATACCTGGTTGCATTAATGTTCTAATTGCTTATATTCAAAAGTGTAAAAGGTAACAGTAGCTATTATTACTGTAGTCTTCCCTGAAAATGAAAAATACTGACAAGTAACAGAAATAATAGAGAGAGAATGCTGGCATATAATCAAGTATGTACACACAACACTACTTTGCAAAATGGTTGCTTTTCACAAAGGTATCAGTTTTCCCATTCAATTAGCCCATTTTTATTTTATTTATATTTTAGACCTTTTTGTAGATATTATTGGCTAAAAACTAAGTGCATTGTTTTCTATATGGCTCCTTTACACTAAGCATTTTCTTCAGAGAATTTTACATTAACCTATTCAATAGCTTCCTCAAGCTGGTCACACTCCATTGCAGGCACAATGCGGAGCGAGGCTGACACTTTTCACTAGCAGTCCCCATGCAGGACTGTAAATTCACTGAGAACCCCACCCATAAAGAATATGTATGTGGTAATGTGGCCGTGAGCAACAGAGGAAACAGGCCACAGTCCTTTCATCTTTGACAAGACACAGATTTACCTTTCAGAAAGAAGAGAGAGGGATAGACAAAGAGAGAGAGACTGTTTTCTTTTTAGTGAGACAAAAGAAAAACACCCTGGTCTTCTTTTTTTGTCTCAGTAAGAAATCAAAGGCTTGCAGTGCAAAATACTCAAAACAATGCAGAGGGCAGTTTCTTTATATTGTTGACTGTTAAGTGCAGTTTAGATCCTGTCATCTGGTTCTGTATTTTTGAGCTTTGAATTTAGATAATCAAGTTTAAATATAAAAATTTACTTTTAAGGATGTGCCAAAACTATGATACGAGTCTTGAGTATGAGGGAGTCTCGCTGAATGTTTACAGCTCTTGTTATTAAGTGTCACTGATGCAGTTGTGAATTTTTAAAACAAAATTGCAGTCATTTGAGAAATTGCTGTGACAGCTTAACATTAATTTTACCAACATAACTCATAAAACTGTCATAAACATGGCAGCATGTCAAACTTACGTTAATACGTTAGCATTATATTGCATTAAATGCGGTACGTGGTTGGTTTTACACTGGCTGTTTTGGAAAAAAATGATGTTGTGACACATATTTCTTTTTCCTGTACAGTTGAAGAACTTAGATTGAATATTAAATCAATGGTAGTCTTTTTTCCTATTAAGAGGCATTTAAATTTTTGTAACATTCTTCAAAAACCAGATATTCCCCACATATTATATTTCACACTAGTCTCTGAAATGCAGTGGCTGGACCAACCTTTTTTTGGGTGGGTGTCTGAAGTGTGATGGTAGTACTGATGATGATAATTGCAGCTTGAACTTGGTTCAGATTGGTTCAGAACCACCTCCTCAAAATGGGGAAATTGTTCATATTCATACATAGTTTGTAGAACTGGAGAAGAGATAGATTGTTGTGCTTAGTCTTGAACTCATCTTTGCTTTGCAGCTCAAATTTCACGTTTGAGATTGTGGCACATCAGATGGTTGCACATGAAACACAGTTATTGGCATATTCTGATGTAATAGCAGGTCTTTGTTCCTGTAAAGTAGAAATTTTCACAGTTCAGTTTATTTTCACTTCAGCTGAGTACACAGTTGAAAGCAAACGACCAAGAAGCTGGTTGGAATGTTGAAGCTTGACTTTGACTGAAAATTTCATTTTTCTGTGTTTTCAGCCAAATTGGGATTCTGCTTTGACATTTTTCATTTTTCATTTTTATTTTTGTAGACAACCTGACACTTTACAAAAATGTTTTTGTCCAGTAATAATAGCTAGCAACAGCAACAAGACAAAATGTTTCAAATTGTCCTTTTTCACCTGCTAAACATTGTGTCTGTCAGAATACAGTCGTGTGAAAGTTTGTTTGGCTCTTAAATTCTGCTTAATTATCCAAGTGCATGTCCTTGGAACGTATTCTTCACTTCGAACAATTCGATTGTCACACAATGTAAACTTTGCAAATAACTGACAAAAGTGACTGAATGAGGAAGATTTTTTATAAGGATTCAGCTGTTATGCACACCTCTTAAAGTCGAAGATATTGGCAATATAAGTGTGCATTTGCTTGCTTTGAGGAAGTTGTTATTGTTATTATGCAATCATAGACAGCATCAAGTTGGCCATCGCTTGGGTGCTGGTGTACCTTACTGGGTTAAGCAGGTGACCTATAAGCTCTAGGGCTATTGCAGATGCCTGGGGTCAAATCTGCCACTCACCCACATTAAATCACCCCCTAAAATATTACGTTTTTAATGGCAATAAAGAACCAAATCATAAAACATCCTATATTCCTGCCACATCCCTCATCTTAACACAAAAGAATACCTTAGTAGTATATGAGGAATTTTCTTCAGTATTTCAGCTGCGGTAGAGTGCTTTATATTCCAGTTTAGAGTTAATTTTTTCATTTCTTCTATTTGCTGAATCGATGGTCCCCCTTCTTGTGTCTTTAGGGAAGCTTCCCCAGCCAGCATCTTATTAAGAACCCATATTTGCCCTCTGAGATCATGATAATAGCTTTTCACCTTCATTTAACAGGCCATCCAGAGGGTCTCAAACACACTGAAGAGAAACAGCTGGTGAATGACTGGCTTGCTTTATGCTGACAGACAAATACAGAGAAAGAGAAGAATTGAATAACGAGGATAGATCGAGGCTATGTGACACAGTAATTGTAACTGATCCCGAAAACTATCGACTGTGGCTGCATTTTAACTTGGAGAGGAAATATGGTTTTTTTTTCTTTTTTTCAGTAGCAAATATAATATGAGACACTATTGTAATACTCCTTCTTGTGTATAAACTTTAAAGTATCCTGTAGTGCACAATATTTATTAAATCTTCATTTGAATTTCAGATGTAGCGAGTTGATTGGAAATAACTTTGCACTGGAGAATCATTCCCTCTGAAATCATTCAGAGGGAGAAGTGTTACAGGGCACCAATTAAGAATCTGTCTCAACACTGGCGATGACATCTCTTTCAGACATTACTCACTGCTCTTCTGGTTGCACTCTGTGAGCCTCAGCCTACAGCCTCTCATACTGTGTTCCTCTGGATGTAGCGAGTTTAGCTCGTGTCATTTCAAGTCCAAGTGGAAAAGCCTCTTAAAACTCTCCCAAAAACTCCTGATACATGAAGCAAACACCTGCTTTTATGTGGAGTAGCATCTACTAGGTGATTTGTTTGGAGAAATGTGAAAAATGACAACATGGTTAGTTCTGGGTTTAAATACATAAAATAGCAGAGGTGTTGAGGATAGCAATGATCTAGTACCGTAATGTTGAGGTCAGTCACTTATCACTGTAATAACAGAATAGCCTGCTGTTACAAACAAGACTGGAACCAATCAGCAGTTTCCCAACCGAATCCTCCCAATGATTTATGTTTTTATACAAGGATGGGCACTGGATTGCCGCTGACACAAAAAATGCTGGACTAAGTAAAGTGTCTGAAGGACTGGGTTTGCTGTTTCAGCCACAAACTCCCTGAGGAATGAACATCAAATAGCATGCTAGGCAGAAGGATGTTGACAACATCCTGAAACCAAAGACTATGAACCTCAGATTACTGATATTTCTCCTGAAAAAGGTGCTGTTAAATGCAGACTGGACCAGTGCTGCACACACAGCAAAGCTGAAGCACTAGCAACTCTTGAATTTATAATGTCATGCTGTGAATATAAGATTTTTCTTTTTACTTCAGCACCAAGAGGGTCTACTTGATTCAGCAGTTTGGAGGGAACTATAACGTGGTGCCAAAAAGTACTTGGACAGATAAGCTGAGAGCAATCTTCCATAACGTCACAAAATATTAAATGAACAGGTTTTTAATGCATAGAAAAGACTAAGACAAATATATACATTATTTTGTCATTTAAACAATAATATAGCAGGTAGGTTAATGTGTGTGCAGAAGGATGCTCTCTTAGCGATACTTGAGCTAATTTTGAACCATTAATCAACTGACACAGGTTTTTAAAATGTAAATCTCTTTATTTATCAAATTTTAATGTTTATGTGCTAAAATAGTGCAAAAACAATTGTCAAGCAAGAACAACTATGGTGAGATCACAGAAAACAAACAGCACAGCAACAATAACATGTTATACATAGATATTATCTGTTTTTTTCCTGGGTACATGATGATATTTATGTTTGAAAGTAATGAAAAAAGACAAGTTTTGTATTTCTGGTGATAGGAGTAATTATAGCTTATGATCTGATTAATAAGCTGACTAAACAATTAAACTTTGCTATCCTCCCTAGCTGCCACCTATTACTGCCTGAGACAGTAATTCAGCTGTGGTAGCTCTCCTTTTTTAGGCTAATTGCCATAATGGATGATGTAATCCAGCATGGTGACAAGTGAGACAGATAACATCTCATGAAATTAGTATGTTCTGCAGTATTTTGATCTGGAAATATAATGGTTACAACTGGTTAAACAGACATTTAACCAGTGGACAAAACACTGCCTCTTTCACTAATATTGTTAAAACATGTCAGTTTGCCTGATTTGCATTTTTCTTGTGTTTTCACAGTTGCAATGTACAGAGAGCCATCTCTCCACGACTTGACAGAGTTCTCCCGCTCTGGCAGTGGCACACCCACCAAGAGTCGGAGTGCCTCAGCAGTACTCAATGGAGGGAAAGCTGTGAGCCAGAACGAATCAACGTAGCCTGGTAGCCCAACCCAGGCCTCGGGCCGAACCGTGAAACCTTACCTCTAGCAGAGCATGAATCCAAGCAGACTTGTTTCTCCGATCAGCGGTTCAGGACTAGCTAGGACAACAAATCACACATAAACAACCAGACACCGTCAATCAAAAGCACCTATCATCCTGGTCGGTCATCATCAAAACAGTATCAACAGTAAGAAACTTAACAGCACATAGATCATTCTGGAATTAAGGAACTGATTAAAACGTTATTTTTGGGCTTGAGGTTTATTGACGACCTTAGACACTCTATTTTTGTGATGATTGCATACCAGTTAGCTCATTTTTATCTTATTTTGGTAATTACTTTACTGTGCACAGTAAGTTTTCTTCATGCAGACACCAAGCCCGCGTGTATCTGTTAGACAGGGACGGGAAGTTAGACATGCAGGTGTTCAGGGCAGTCAGTAATGGTGCTGGTCTACAAGGTTGCAGTGGTACCGTACAAGCCCTGATCTCTGTCTCATCCATGCTTCTGTGAATACAAAGCCTATAAACTCCCTGGTATGGTACAGCCTAGTGCTACTGAGACTGTGGCCAGCCAGATGGTAGCTCTCCTGCGTCCTAGTGCACACGCTCAGAGACTGAGCTCTCTAGCATGGGAAAATGAAGCCTATGTACAACTGACCTGAGATATAAGGGGCAGTGTGGCTCTCTTGCAGTTTTACCTTTTCCTTTATTTTATTTTTTTTAAAAATTTGGAGATGCCACAGCTGCACCTTAGTTTTTGCTAATTTTCTGAATTAGCTGTGAGATTTTGTTTAATAACTGATTATGTTCCTTCTTGTTCTCTTCCCTTGCCATCGTTAAGCATTTGCATCTTTGTTCATTAATGAAAAATGGTTCCAGCAAACCAAAGACAGAAAAAGAGTGTCCCTTTAAGCCGCTGAAAGCCAAGTCAGTATAAAAGCAAAGCTGGATCTTTTTGTTTTTTTATTGTACATTTTTGATGAGAGAAAGCAAAGGTTTGTGAAAAAAGAAAAAAGAAAGGCAAAGGAAGTGATTTTAACCACTTTGGAGTTGGCAGCGTGCTTGACGTGCTTTTTGATGATACACTCGATGACTGAGGTATGAAACGACTATCCTGTGTCCCCATTCCCTTCTGTTACCACAGTGTCACAATGTCTCTAGCTCTTGTCCTCGTAATCGGTTCCTCCCTTTGTGCTTGTGTCATACTTCGAAACCCCAACCATCCTTTTTTGTCGACTTCTATTGACTGATACACTTCACCATAGGATGGTGAATGACCCTTCCCAGGATGCTTGTTATGTGTTTGAGTAACTTATTGTGGTGACAATATTTTCTATATTTAAAAAAAATACTGTGGACTTTTAGGTGGCTTAACATTTTATAGGACACGTCATATTTGTAAAAGTGAAGAAAAAAAAAGATAAAGTCATACAAAAATGAACATCTTCCCTTTCTTGCACTGGGCATGTACAAACACATATGTACAAAAAGGACCCTTTTGTGGGCTATGTACGCTTCCCTTCAGCTACATAACTTCCTTCTGGTACATGCTTCTGGGAGACTTTCTTTTCTTGGTTTCCTCTGGAGGTGGTCTTTATTAGGTGAACCTATCTGTTGCATGGGAGAAGGCAGGGAAATTCTGGTCTAGAGCTGCATGATGTAGGCTATGTGTATTAACCCATGTTGGATCATGTGTTCCAAACTACCAGACAGATACTCTGATGAAACAACATATACAGGCAGACATTGTGGCTGGCTGATAACTTCCAGTTGTTTATTATTTGTTGTATACACAAAAATGCACTGAATAAAATATTTATATTAAGATATACTTTTAAAATGTGTCAGTCCTCTTCTTTGTTCAGTCGTTTACTTCATTTATTACACTCATTAGCTATTGCAGCCATACAGAACACTATAGATTGTTACAATTAAACAATAAATCTGTGTTTTATTGTACCCAGAAATACATTCACCCTTGAGAAACTCTTGAACATAAACTAATTCCTGGCATCTTTCTTGTCTGTGAACATCAATGTGTCATACCTAGGTGGAAAAAGCCTTTAATTGCCTCTGAGTGTTACACAGGCCTAAAGGGCTTATTCTATCAAAAAAAATCAATATCTTTTCAACGTGGTAGAAGACTGGGTATTTGGAAATCGCTTCACAGCTGTAACTTTTCCTGTTGCCTGAATAAGTGCTGGTTTAGCTGAGTAAAATTATTAAGTAAGCAATACTGCGTTTGCCTTTTTCCAAGGAGCTAAATATGAGTTGGTCATAGTAAAAATGATTCAAAAAGTCTTTACTTAATATTAATAACAATAAAATATCCATCTATCCATTCTCTTCCACTTATCCTTAACAGGGTCGCAGGGTTGCTGGGATAATCACCTAAGTCACATTCCTCTGATTGCAATGTCGCATGTCAAGATTTTAAAAATGAACTTAAAGAAATTCATACTCTGGGATAAAGTTTAAGTTCTGTAATTATACAACACTCCAGGAGCAAACAAGACTTTTTCTGGTTATCACAGCCCATTGTTCATCTTCAGAATAAGCTCTCTCATCATCCTTGGAGTGTGAGTGTTAAAACAGGCATCAATCTGGTCTTTGGAGACTACCTCATTACGCCCATTGCCATCAGAGACAGGAGGACTAATAGGCTTCTGTAATATGGGCCCTGATATGAGCGACTTCATCGTTCATGTAGTTTGACATCCCCCTACTCCCTTCATTTCCTTTCCCCATCTCTAGACTCCATTCATTAGTATGGGACAGTCCAATTCATTAACGGAGGCTTCCGGCTTTGTTCAGAGATGTTGATCTGAAAAGAAGCCACTTTCTCTCTTTCTCTCCTTCGCAGACCAGTTACTCTTATTTTCACTTGGATAGACTGATAAGTCTGCATGGAGCCCCCCCAAAACAGAGTGTCTCATTCAAACACAGCCACACACATATAGACTTCACGCAAAGCCATTGCCACTTCAGTGTATAATCATTTGAGATTGTGAGTGAGATCAGGCAGAAATATTCTGTCACGAATCAGCCAGAGCTGACGGAGCTGTGATATATGTGATCACCATGTACCTGTGAATGCTATAACTCATTACCCTTTATCACTTCCACCGCAGGCTGACTGGCTTCCTTTTTCTCACCCAGTCTCTCGTTTCTGTTGGTCTTTGTCATTTCCATCACTATTGTGCTGTCGCTCAGTTTTAATTCTCAGGCAAACATTAGTTACCCAAACAGAAATTAAATGAATGTCACTATAATGTGCTTCATAAAAACCTAATGGCAGGGCCACACGTGTTCTTTTAATGCTATTTGTTATTAATGTGCATATTACTGGTTACTACTCATTAGTACTTCAAAATAGCCATGAAAACCCTACAAAACATATAGAAGATATGCATCGATCTTTAGATTTACCAGTTTTATCCATTGCGATTAGACTTTCCTTTGTAACCAAGGTTACTAAAGAATACGTGTGTGGCGGCTCGTTTATTGGGTGGGGAAAAAAATTCTACCCAGTCAGGAAGCCAACACATGAAATTACTCGTATTATCAAAGTTCTTTTTTTTCTCCTTACATTTTGCACATGGTGTTACTTACAGCAAAATGAGTTAAGTGCAGCACAGACAACTGAATTTAATTGACTCGCTGGTGGAGAAACCTCCCACGAGGGACAGCTGCAGCTCCTCGTTCTCTGTTTGTCATTTTGCTGTGGACAATTTACGAATCGTTTACTCAGTACAATTATTTGCAGATGAAATGGGTAAATGGAAGTTGTGCTTTGTTACGAAGTGGTCTATTTTCACGCTAACCTTTATTTATTTATTTATTTTTTAACAAGTTGAAATTCCTGAGAGCAGACTAAACCAAAACAAATTAAGAAGCAAACTGCAGATAACACACTTGAGCTATTTAGCTCCAAACCCTGGCGATATTAAGGACGAAAGAGGCTGGAGTGTGGAAAAAAAAGTAACAGATAAAAAAATACATCTGCTAGCATGAAGAAAGAAAGTTGTGCATAAGACCTTCTGAGGAAAAACAGCAGAAATTATTGACACTTGGGTTTAGTCATTGTAAAAACACTGTATAGTCCTGGCATGTATGCCTGAGCTTTCACATGAAAAGCAAAACAAAACCCAAAAAGTGTTTATCAGGTGGCAACAGTTAGAAACATAAGCTGACTAACATTCTGCAGGCCTTCAGCTCATACAAGGAAAAAGGTCGAGGAATTAAATCGAATGGAACACATTGCTGCTAACCCTCAATGTGCCAAACCTGCCAGGCCCTCAGCACCTCAGTGCCCTTTGAGAGCAGAGAATCCAAATAGAGTTAGCTGTTATTTTGTCCCTCTAAAAACCTCTCTTCCATCATCCTCCCCATGTGCCCTGGTAGGCACAGGAAAAGCAACAACTTCATTCTCAACATTTTACCCTCAGCAGAAAGTGTCTTACACCTCGGCTTATCAGTGCTACCACCATATCAGAGCACCAGGGATAGAAAAGACAAAAAAGACACACTGCCCACAGAATGTACGCTGAGAACACCCACTACAAATAGCACCAGACATCACCATTAAAGGTACAGTGTTGGGATTGTGTAGCGTCTTCTTCTTAATTTTATTTAATATGGATTGTTTATGGAGATAGGAGCTGGAAAATGGTAAAAGTAAGTTGGTTGGATGAATGCACCACCTCCAGTCAATGGTAGCAGATTCAGTTAGCGTTTCTTCCTGTAAAAGGGGAGTTTTTCCTTCCCACCATCACCAAGTGGTTGTACATAGAGGATCATCTGATTTGTTTCTTCTTTTCTGGTTTAATATTATGGGTCATAGTTCCTACAGAGTGCTGACGATTTACAGTAGTTATGCTGAATGCCAAATTAGATAGAAAACATAACTCCTTAAAAGTAATATTCCCCAGTTTTGGTGTCTAGTACACTGACATCAGCAGACAGTTGTAACGCCTTGGTGGGGCTTTCTCTTTTCCCGTCACACTTCTTAAATATGTTGAACCATTTTTTTGGTTTTAATAAAGTCAATAAATCCACATCATGGTCATTGTTCAATTAAATCAAATGCAGAGATCAAGTGCAAAAGAAAGAAAGAAAGAAAGAAAGAAAGAAAGAAAGAAAGAAAGAAAGAAAGAAAGAAAGAAAGAAAGAAAGAAAGAAAGAAAGAAAGAAAG